TTTAACTTGCCAGATGTAACAGTGAGGTCTGGTCCTTGTGAAAAGGTGATTGAAGGTTGTGGGAGTCTCATAGTTCTGAATGGTTGAAGTGAAACATGTGACCTGATAAAGCTGAACAAGTTTTAAAACTTTTACAGTCCTAGAGATGCTTAAAGGGAATAATTTGCTTTATCTTTGTAGAGAAACAAACAAAAAAAGGAAAAATTTGTTTTTTCTTTTTCCCCTTCCTGCCTTTTTCCCAATGTCCATCTTCATCCTAGTTCTCCAAACTTACTTGTGCAGTTATAACACAAGTCTGTTTTTTTCTGATATTTTCTAGATTTTGTGGCCTGATTCAGTTTCAAGGAGACATGAGAGAGAAAGTTTTCTTCCAGCTGTTTCTCCTCCTTTGCCATCCCTTCCCTATAGTAAGTACTGAAGACTTTGCACGTTACCAGCTCTATTCTTTACAATACTTTACAAATGAAAAATAATTCCAAGTGTGTTAAAGCAGCATTCTTTTTAACAGGTATTAATGTCTAGAACAGACTTTATTTCTCAAGGACCTGCTCTCTGCAGGGCTGCCCCCTGATGCAGGCTGCCTGCCATGTACCAGGCTGTGCCACACGTGCTGCCCTTCCACCTCCTGGCCTCACTGGTTAAACTGGGAAGGCTTGGGGTTAGGGATTTTTCATTGCCCAAACCAGGGAATGGACAAGGACCCAAGGCTGCTTTGGACACCAGGGATGCACAGGGTGACTGCTGGGGATGGTCCTGTGCAGGGCCAGGAGCTGGCCTGGGGGATCCCAGGAGCTGGCCTGGGGGATCCCAGGAGCTGGCCTGGGGGATCCCAGGAGCTGGCCTGGGCCTGGGGGATCCCAGGAGCTGGTCTGGGTGATCCCAGGAGCTGGCCTGGGCCTGGGGGATCCCAGGAGCTGGCCTGGGTGATCCCAGGAGCTGGTCTGGGTGATCCCAGGAGCTGGCCTGGGTTTGGGTGATCCCAGGAGCTGGCCTGGGTCTGGAGGATCCCAGGAGCTGGTCTGGGCCTGGGGGATCCCAGGAGCTGGCGTGGCTGGTCCCAGGAGCTGGTCTGGGGGATCCCAGGAGCTGGTCTGGGGATCCCAGGAGCTGGTCTGGGTGATCCCAGGGGCTGGCCTGGGTCTGGGGGATCCCTGGAGCTGGTCTGGGGATCCCAGGAGCTGGCTGAGCTGGTCTGGGTGATCCCAGGGACTGGCCTGGGTCTGGGGGATCCCAGGAGCTGGTCTGGGTGATCCCAGGAGCTGGTCTGGGCCTGGGGGATCCCAGGAGCTGGTCTGGGCCTGGGGGATCCCAGGAGCTGGTCTGGGCCTGGGGGATCCCAGGAGCTGGTCTGGGCCTGGGGGATCCCAGGAGCTGGCGTGGCTGGTCCCAGGAGCTGGTCTGGGGGATCCCAGGAGCTGGTCTGGGGATCCCAGGAGCTGGTCTGGGTGATCCCAGGGGCTGGCCTGGGTCTGGGGGATCCCTGGAGCTGGTCTGGGGATCCCAGGAGCTGGCCTGGGGATCCCAGGAGCTGGTCTGGGGATCCCAGGAGCTGGCCTGGCTGGTCCCTGTGGGTCCCTGCCCTCAGCAGCCCCTGTGGCTCTGCCCTTGGCTCACTCTGCCCTCCCTGCAGATCCGGAAGACCACGGCCAGCCAGGTGTACGAGATGCTGCTCACCTACAGCGACGTGGTGGACCCAGCCATCCTGGAGCAGGCCATGGCCATCCTCAGTGACACCAACTGGTGCGTGCTGTGCTGCCCCAGAGCAGCCCCTGTGCCCTGGAGCCACCAAAATTCTGTGCCTGTGAAGGCTTGGGGGGAGGAAGCTGTGAGAAGTGATAGCTTCAGCTCTTTATTGGTTCAGCTCTTCATTGGTTCAGCTCTTCATTGCTTCCACCACAGCACTGCTGCAAGGAATTCCTCTGGTCTAAAGAGCTCTCCAGGACTCTGGCCACTGGAAGGGGATGTATAAAATCACCATCAGATAAAGTAAAATAGCCATATTTTTCTAACAACATAAAAAGGGAGAAAATCTTGGAAGTTTTCCACGAAGCAGAGACTGGGCTGTGCAAACAGTCAAACTTAACTGCACAGACAGTTTCTTGGCATTTGTGAGCACTGGCAGGATTTGGGGAAAGGAAGGATCTCTGCAAGCTGGAAAACAACAGAATTAGCAGAACAGCTCAAATCTCCCATGAAATGTAATTACTCAACATGCTACAAGCCTTGTATTCAGGCAAAGATTTGGAATTGGAACAGTTTAGATGTTTCCCAGGATAGGATGGCATGAATTAAACAAACACTTCATGGAATACAGTTTTTTTTTTACTTACCTCCTTCCAGGGGCAGTTCTTTATAAGCATGAACCAGTGACTTTTAGAGCAAAGGAATAATTTCATGAGCACCTTTGCAGTGACAGGAGCAGGGAATCAGCATTTTGGCACTGGATTTTCCCCTTTCTGCAATTTCTAGCATTGGTGTGCCCTGGAGCCACCAAAATTCTGTGCCTCTGAGGGCTGGGGGCAGGAAGCTGTGAGAAGTGAGAGGTTCAGCTCTTTAGGTGACACCAACTGGTGCGTGCTGTGCTGCCCCAGAGCAGCCCCTGTGCCCTGGAGCCACCAAAATTCTGTGCCTGTGAAGGCTTGGGGGGAGGAAGCTGTGAGAAGTGATAGCTTCAGCTCTTTATTGGTTCAGCTCTTCATTGGTTCAGCTCTTCATTGCTTCCACCACAGCACTGCTGCAAGGAATTCCTCTGGTCTAAAGAGCTCTCCAGGACTCTGGCCACTGGAAGGGGATGTATAAAATCACCATCAGATAAAGTAAAATAGCCATATTTTTCTAACAACATAAAAAGGGAGAAAATCTTGGAAGTTTTCCACGAAGCAGAGACTGGGCTGTGCAAACAGTCAAACTTAACTGCACAGACAGTTTCTTGGCATTTGTGAGCACTGGCAGGATTTGGGGAAAGGAAGGATCTCTGCAAGCTGGAAAACAACAGAATTAGCAGAACAGCTCAAATCTCCCATGAAATGTAATTACTCAACATGCTACAAGCCTTGTATTCAGGCAGAGATTTGGAATTGGAACAGTTTAGATGTTTCCCAGGATAGGATGGCATGAATTAAACAAACACTTCATGGAATACAGTTTTTTTTTTACTTACCTCCTTCCAGGGGCAGTTCTTTATAAGCATGAACCAGTGACTTTTAGAGCAAAGGAATAATTTCATGAGCACCTTTGCAGTGACAGGAGCAGGGAATCAGCATTTTGGCACTGGATTTTCCCCTTTCTGCAATTTCTAGCATTGGGCATTATTACCTGGGCAGGTTTGAGAAAAATTCAGAATTTTAAGATAATAATTAGTTTATTAGTTTTGCTGCCTTATTAAACATTTTTCCTTGTCACAGACCTGGGCCATGGGGCTGCTGCCCCAAATAGGAGTCACAGAGAACAAACAAATGTAGAAAAATATATAATTTATTTAGTCATTATATTAAATGGCTTTGTGTCTTCATTGACATTTCATGGAAATAAATTTATCCCAGACAAGCTCAAAGAACAAATGCACCTTAAGGGTGGCTGACAGAGTTGCAGACTGCATGTAACACTGTTTGACTTCTGTGTAGCTCCCAGTTTATTTCTGTGCTTGAGCTTAAAGAACTTTATATTTGTGAAAAGAAAGCTGAGTTTATCATCAGGAGGGGTGGCTGCTGCTCTTTTTCTGAATTTTCCAGTGCACAACTGGAAGAGTCTGAGGTTTGAAGGAGTGGCTGCCAGCAGTTCTGCCTGTGTTACCATTCCCTGTTTAACTGCAGGTGGAAGTTTAGGATTGAGTTGGGTGTGGCTCAGAGCTCCATTTGCAAAACTGAATTTAAGGGCAGGCATAAGGAATTTGTGAGCTGACACTGCAGGATGGGCTGAGTGCTGTCACCCAGGGGTGGTTCCAGGGCCAGCACTCACAGGAAAAGCAGTGGCAGTTCAGCTGTGCTCATAAACAACTGCAAAACACTTCCCCAGGAAAACACTCCAGAAAAATGAATATTCTGTTTTCACCCTGTCATTTTTAGGGTGTGCCTGGCTTATTCTGGCTTGGAGCAAGCCCTGAGTGCCCTGCTGCACTGTGGCCACTGCTCTGAGATGAAAGACAAAGAGCTCATTTACTCAAAACTTAATTGTTTCATCTTGGTAGATTTGAGCTATTTACAGAAAAAGAGATTTGAAGTTGTTGCTGAGTGTCACAGTGAGCTGCTTGTTTTCCTCAAGCTCTCCCAGTGCTAAAATAATCAGTCTAAGTTCTGAATTACCCTAAGTATTAGCAGCAGGAAGCCAAATGAGGATTGAAGGAGTATGGTAATTACTGGGATGCACATATTTTCCTTGTTGGGACTCCAGAGACTTTATCATGCAATTGTGTCATGCAGAGTTTAAACAAATTACTTTATAAATAATACACTTTGTTTAGCCACAGGAAAGTTTCCAGTAGTAAATAAGACAAATTGTCCAAGGTGTGAAAAAAAAAGGTTGCAGTTATTTCTGACTCACCCATTTTTGTTTTTTCTTTATAGAGGGGATGGGAGATTCTTCTCCAAATCAAATCACTTTAGAGAATAAAATAATTAACTTCTAATCAAAAGAGTGGAGTTTTTAAATATAAAACCCTATAAAAGAATAGTCTTGGACATTTTATTGGCCCCTGGTTACCTGAGGCAGATCTGGTGTGTATTTGTGATTTATCTGACTTAGGGTGCTACAAAAATGGTCCAGTAGCCTTCAAATGTGACACTGCAAAAACACCCTGCCATTTGAAATGTGCATGAAAGGACACACCCATTGTGGGCAGGGGTGACAGGGATCACTGAGGGTGTTTTATGGATTTTTCTGAATTAACTGGAAATAACCTTTGCTCTCCCAGGGAAGCAGAGCTGCCCGTGGTGAGAGAGAGACGAAACTGCCTCTGCGACCTCCTGAAAGTGCCCAGACCCCAGCTGGTGCCCAAGGTGAGGTGGGAATGGGCTCCAGGGGTGCTTTTTCCAGGGAGGTGTCCCTGAGGGTGTTCCCAGCCAGCTGCAGAACACGTGGGGCCCTTCCAGCCCCATTCCTGAGAGCATTCCAGGCTGGCAGCGCCACATTCCAGACACAGATGTGCAGCCTCTGCTCCTCTGCCCTTCCTGGGGAAGGGGAAAAGGCAGGAACTTCTCAATTTCAGCAGCAAGATGATGACATGAGGTGGTGCAGACCACAGCATTGCAGCACTGCCTCTGTGGATGAATAGCATACAAAACCATAAAATGTATATATATATATAAAATGTATATTTTTAGATAGTTTGGACATGCCCACCCAGCTCAGTATTTCAGCAGTACAGAACTTTCTGCTTTGGTAGGGGTTCTAGAAGAGGTTTTTAGTGTTTTAAAGAATATGTGTTACTGTGTATATATAAATATTTATCTTTCTTTAAAGACTCATACTTAAGACACTATGAACACCCTTCAAAGACCTCCTGCTGCCTCTTAGCAGTGTCTTCACTCATCTTTCAGTTTTTACCATCTGCTTCTAGTACAATTTTAAGAAACCTCAGCTAACATTTTTATACTTCTGGAAAACAAGAGTCTGAACTTCCTGCCCAGCAAGAAGTTGTTTTTAGAACAAAAACTGACCTGAGTGTTGCTTTTAAAAGTTTTCTAATCAAGTAATTGAAAGATTATGCTCAAAATAAGAGATCAGATAAACTCTCTGATCTCAAAAAAAATCCTTCTAATCTTTAATTATTGAAGGCTGAGAGAAGACTGGTACTTTAGGAGAGAACTGTGTCTAGGATAAACAAAATAATGAGAAATAATCCCAATACACATCCAGGTATCTCCAGTGGAGCTGGTACAGGTGGGATCTGGATGTTTTGTGCCCAGTTTGGAGCTTTTCCTCTTGCTGCCCTGCACATAAGCAAACAGTCAGTGTAACTTTAGCACAGCTGAGCCTGCAGCTCAGGGTGCCCCTGAGGAGGAGAGGCTGTCCCCATGTCCCCATGTCCCCAGTGCTGCTCCCAGCAGTGGGAGAAGTCAGAGAGGAGGCCAAGCATGGCAGGGTAAAAAGGAGAATGAAGTTGGCTTCAGCTGAAATCAATACTTTCTACTCCTTTAAGTTCTGTACAAATAAAACTTGCTGGAGGATGGTTCAAACCATGGGGTTAAAAGGAATAAATATCACAGCTTTGTATTTTCTTTTCTGTTTGGGTTAGTTAATTACAGGGCTGGGAAGTGCCAGGACAGCAGTGCCATGGGACAGTGCTGCCTGCTCCATGTGACCTGTCCTTTTCCTCTCCCTGGCAGAGTTCAGCATGAGGAGGAGCAGCCAGGATGGGAAGAGCTGAGCTGTGGCAGCCTGGGACACATCCTGCTGATCCCAGCAGAGCTGAGCACTGCACTGCTGGCCACGAGAGGCAGAGCCTGCCTGAAAGCACACCTGTGCCACAGGAGGACAACCAAAATTCCTGCTTCCCAGTTTTTAGTGTTGCTGTCTGGCAGGTTCTTGTCATGCTCTGTCACACTGACCTGTCAGGTTCGGTGTCAGGGGTTTGTACTTCCCTGACTGAGCAGAGCCTGTGCTTGTACACACACCAAGAATTAAACTGGCCTGCTGCACTGGTCTCTTCAAGGTGTATTTTTCAGAGGGGAGAATGGCAACACTCAGTGATACTGAAATCATCCCCAAGCACCAAGTGTCCCTGTGGAAAAGTCTGTCATTCCTATGTCATAGTTAAACAAAAAAATCCAGGTTTCACTTCAGCTGATGTCAAAGCCTCTCTTTACAGCTCTTTATAATTAATAATAACTATGCCAAGTAACTAATTCAGACAAATTGTTTTTGTGGTAAACTCAGTTTTGAAGAAAGTGAGTCAGTTCTTCAAGCAGCTCCAGCTCATTTCTTACCCCCTACAAACTGAAATCACTCTGAAATTGATCTTTAGTGAGATCAATGTGATGGGGAGGTGAAATGCACAGACCACATCATATTGTAATTACACTGTAATTTATGGCTGTAATTAAATCCCACTATCCCAGCAGTTGAACAGTGGCTGGGTGTGTATAGACACCTCTACAAATGTGAAAGGAAGGAAGGAAAAATTCAGGCAGAGAAGCTAAAACCAAGCCAGTTTCTCAGTGAAGTAAATGCTGCAAACTGCAGGTGTTCACTTCCAACCTGGCTGGCTCAGACTCTGGTTTTGAAGAAGGTAACTATAAATGAGATTATTCAATACTTTTAAGGATTCCTGCAAGCTGGACTGGCAGCTGGAATTAGTGGAGCTCAGGCTTCTTCACTGACTGTTGATCACAATTTACCAGTCAAACTGAGTGATGTGCAACAGTAAAACCAGTAATGCACACAGTAAAACAACCAGTAATAACTAGTAATGCACACAGTAAAACAACCAGTAATAACTAGTAATGTGCACAGTAAAGAGTAATGCACACAGCATTGCCCTGGTGTAACTATGACCTCCCCTACAACGGGGTTACTCAGCCCAGAGATTAAATTAACAAAGCACAAATGACTAAGAAGTTCTAAACCCCTGAAGAATTTGGTTTTCCTGCACCCAGCCCCACAGAGAGCAGCACTGCCTCACCTTGGTTTAGTTAAAATGATAATAATCCATCCCTTCCTTCAGGTTCAGCATGGCCAGGTTTGTTTCAAAGGCTCCACCTGTCATGTCCTGTGAGGGAAGAAGGAGAAAATTAACTCAAACTCATTTCAGGCTGGGTTTGGGCTACTGATTCTTTGACAGAAGAAAGTCCCATTTGCAGAATTAAACAAATAAACCAAGGCTCAGGAAAGTTTCTGTTCAAAAATTCAGGGTGTGTTGAAAAGTTAGAGTTTAAATCAGTGTGGGGATATCAAATCCTCACTCTGCAGTCTGCTCTGGAGCACACAAAGGCTGCTCTGGTGTTTGCCAGCTCAGATTGGCAGAAAATGGACCAAGGCAGTGAGCTGGACAAAACAAATGGTTTGGGTGGATTCTGAGCTCTGATGGGGTTGTCTGATAAAACAAGCCCTTCATCAAGCAGTGAGGTGCTCTGCAGAGTTAAAGGTGTTTCCTTTTGAGCCCCAGTCCAGTTATCAGGACAGGAACTGGCTACATTTGGTCCTTGAGCAACCTCAGTGATGTCATTAAGAAAACAGGGCAGCTTCAGCATTCCTGAGCACTTCCTGCAGTCCTGAATTACTGATCTTAAGGAATGTCACCAAAAAAACCCCAAAAATTCATGTTTGTGTGGTTGGCCCAGAACAGCAAGAGTGAGGTCTTAACTGTGAATGTTGAGGATGGGAAGTTACAGAAATGGAGTCCCACTGAAACTGGAATTGAGGGAGTTGGGAAAAAATAACCTGCTTTATAGAGGGGTTAAAAAAATAAATAGGAGACCAGATGCTAAATTAAGTGGGAGAGTTGAAGACAAATCTTTCATTCCCAGAGCACAGGAAAAGCCAGGCAGGGCTGTACAATAAGAGATTTAACTACAAATTTTCTGAAAACTTTATACAATCAAGCTGGTTTAATTGCTGTGACAGAAAAATAAAAATCCCTTTCATTTGCAGCCGTTGGAACCCAAGCCAAGGCAGGGCACAAAGCAGCATTTCTAAGCACTTTGCTTTTACCTCCAAGCAAGAGCAAACATGGAGCACAAACCCTTGGGTGAAGTGGCCCTGAGCAGCTAAAGCCACACTTTCATTCTCTTCAGCAAAAACTCAAACACAGAGCAGAATTCCAGCTCCAGCTGTCTGTGAAGCCATTACAAAATGCAAACTGAGCAGAGATCAGAGGATGCCTGCTTCTTCCAGAAGGATTTCTCTGGTACCAAAGCCATGCCAGTGCTCACAAGGGAGGAACTGCCTGAAAAAATAAATGAGCCAATGCTGCTCCAAGTACATGGCCAAGAGAGTCACTTCTTGTAAACAGCCCACTTAATAACACATCTAATCTCCAAAATCACCCTCTTAGAGCTGCAAAGGAACATGCAGGTTTTGTCTGTATCAAAAGGAAAAATAATCCCCTATAAATAAAAGCCAATAAAGCCCCTTAATGCACACTTTCTTCTTCAGAAAATGGTGATGAACTTAAGTTGGTAAAGAATAAGCAAGCAGAAAATGCTCAGTGGCCATGAGGGGAAAACCAGACTGAAATCCCAACTGAAGTCAGAGACCAGAGTTTGCAGACAAGATGTTGTATAATAGTCTCATTGTAAGGGCTTCACAGATTAAATGTGCTTTAGAAGAGGTTGCACAGATGTTTTGTCTGGGGACTTCCACCCACTGTTATATGCAGTATGAAAAATTAAATTAGTTGTAATAGTACTTGCTGATCCAAGAGTTTATCAAGCAGGAGTGCAGGATAATGCCCCAAGGCACTCTGAGTCTGGATCACAACCCCGAGCTGGGAGCCCAGAGTTGATCATGAGGTTGGGAGTGCCAAGTTAAAAGCAGGCTGTACCAGAGGAGAGGAGAGGAGATGCAGCTGATCCATCCCTGAAGGGATCCAGCACAGCCTTAGCGTGTCAGTGTTGTGTGGAGTGCAGGTTTTAGCTGCTGTCAGAGGGGGTTTTATTGTTTTTTACCACTCCAATGTATTTGCTATTTTAAAGCTTCTGTGTTATAACAGCAGAAAAACTGCTGGTTATCATCTAATTATATTATCAGGGCAGTTAAACCAGTTGAAATGAGTTACCACAGTCAGATACAGAAGATGCTTCAGAACTGGCAGAGCCAAACAAAATGGCTTTTAAGGTCTGATTTAAAAACAAAGCCTTTGCCATACATGGGGCTGCAAAATACCTGGCCCAGAGGGGGCTGAGTGCATGTGCTCATTGGGGTGTATTTGGTACTGGGCAAGGAAGTACAACAGATCCAGCCCCTGGGTAATTCTTAATTTTACCCAATACTGCTGATTTCAATCCCAAAACACCCTGCACAATCAGTTTGATTTAAAAAGCCATTCATCTGTAGAGCAAAAGCTGCTGGGAAAAGGCACTTGCAGTGAATAGAAACTCATTTTCCTGAGGAGCAAATGCTGCTCCTGCAGGTGAAGCCAAGGCTGGGACTCACCAGCTTCACACAGACCACGAAGGGCGGAGCTGCGTCCCTGAAGTGACACACAGGAATTTTGGGTTTTGGTCTCTCCTGCAGGAGGAAGGGGTACAGAAGCACTCAGGTTACTTGCTAGCATGGTTTTAAGAGCTGCTAAACTCTAAAAGGGGAAAAAAACGTGTTGAGCTCTGAAGAGATTTTGCTCATTCTCTGCCTGTGTCGGTGCCCGTCACATTTCAGTGAAGTTGAGTGAAGTTGCACCAAATCTGAATTTGGAGCTTTCTGCTCCTGAGAGGAGCAGCTCTCACTGCTCCACTGCTTCCTCCTCATCTCCAAGTTCTACTCCCAGCCCTTTCCCAAACAATTCCCTCTTTGATCTGATGGCAATGTGTGCAGCTTTAATAGCCTGTCCCATAACAATGTTCCTTTTTTTTGGTTTATTTTTTGCCATTTTAGTGAAATGCATTGGTTCCTGTGCCCTCAGCACAGAACAGGCACAAGAGCAGAGACAGAGGAGGATCTGTCCCTCCTGCTGGGAGCTGTTAAAGGGCTAAAGCTCAACTGGGACTTCACCACAGATCCAAGCTGCAGGATTGTCTAAGGATTCACAACAGCTGCAGTGCAATCTTCTTTACAGCTGATCTGAGCAAATGGCTTTGTTTTAGGAAGACCAATGCCAGGATCTGTGTCAGTCACACTGGGCAGTGAGTCCTCAGTACTCCAGGCTGAAATGCTGATCCCAGTTGCTTCCATGCAGCTCAAACACTCAGTGTTTTCCCAGCATGGAATTGTGCAGCTCCTCCAGGCTGAGCACCAGCTGTACCTGAGGAGGGGCCCTCCTGTCCCACTCCCATCAGATACAAGGATCTGGCAAGCTCAGGGTAATTTGATTCACAAGATAACTTGTTGGAAAACTTTTAATTTTGAGTGTTCCTTCCCATTATCCACCACAAACCAAATTCTCCTCCCATTTGGAAGACACACCTGCCAGTGAAGACTGTTTTACCCCATCATCAGGATCCTTTCAGAATAAGTATTTTTGTCTTTCTAAACTGACTTCACTGAGTGTGAAGCTGACAGGCCTGGCTCCAGTTTGCATCCCAGTGTCCATTCCCTCCAATCTTCTGTCACAGCCTCTCTACCAAAATGAGCTGCTACACAACATACAACATCAGTGACAAATTCCTTCAGCACATTCCTCAGGACACTTCTAGATCACAGTAAAAAATGCAAGAGTGCTTATAACTCACCTCAGATTCCTCATAGGTGTAGAATCCTTTTGTTATTTTCTTTTCATCAACATCACAAAATGCAGTTACCTGGGAAAGAGAAGCAGAATGTTTCTGTAGCACCATTTCACCTGTAATGTGTCTGTGAGCAGAGCTGCAGGCAGGGGGATGGACACAGGAGTGGGCAGAGCACCCTGGGCCTCCTCTGCAGCTTAAACCCTGATTAAATTTTTTCTAAGTGTATCTCAAAGAGTGGGGAAAATTCTGCAGGTGTCTGTGAGCACATTCTGATCTCAGCCACTGACTGAACACCACCCACCCCATCCTCAGGGAGTAAACTCAACCCAGAGACCACTTTCCTCATTTTGGCACTTCCACTAAAACCCAGATGAGATCAATAAAAGCCTCTCCCTGTTCACCCCAAGCATGGCATGTTCCCCCAGACACCTTGGGCCCACTGCTCTGGGTGCTCTGCACTACCAGCCTCAATTCCAGGGCACAGCACACCAAATCTGGGCATTCCTATGGTTATGGGCTTGAATTTCAGCTGAAAAGTTCAGCAGATCTGACGTTTAAACACAAATAATTACTGCTTCACTTTGCTTATTCTTACTGGAGTTATGAAAGCATTATTTGCAGCCCTAGGTGCCAGATATTTCAGATGGGTTTTTATTTGCATTCCTCATAAATATGCAGGCAGAATAAATGCCTGCCATCTAAAATACACAGTGGCCTTATTTCTGAGAGCCACTAGGTTGCCAGGAACATTTTGGAAGACTTTTTAAAATAAACATGGCTGTGTTTTCCTCTGACTTCCGTTGGATTCATTCATATTATCTACATGGAGCTCTTATGCTGAAGCAGAACAGTTGAGATAGTTAAGGTCATACAGAAATCAATTATTCTGGTGAAAGCTGGATAGCAGCTTTCATATCTTTTTAATTGCTGCATTAAAAATTGATTAACAACACTTACTGCTGAGAAAATCTGAAAAGCCAAACAGCTGTTTATTAATTTATTAAGTTAGAGAAGGCTGAAAAGGCTGGCTGGCTTTCCCTGTCTGAAATCTCTCTCACACATTTTCTTCCTGTGATTAAGATGGTTTTCTTTTACCTAAAGTGACCTCATTCTGTTTGTGTAGAGGGTTTTTCTAATACCATAATATCACTTCCTTCACTAAACATCAATGGCAAGAGAATGCAAACAAAAGTATCAAGGGACTGCAAATAAGGCTGCAAAGCACCAGTGTCCAAAGCAATGAGGGAAATGGGATAAACTGGAGGGATTGGGCAGGGACAGCCCTTGGAACCCCTCAGAGGGACACAGGGAGACCTGGAGAAGACAAAACAGGCACCAAAGGAAGAACAGAATGTTAAGGAAATATGGAATTTCCATTCTGGGGCTGTGTGAGTGAGGAATCACATCAGGGGCACACCCAGAATTTGAACTCTGTGTCAGCATTGGAATGGAAATAGAAGGGAAGGAGGGAATTCAGGAAGGTGCTGGAGGCTGTGCAAGGTGTTTGTGGCTGGGTTAGACTAACACTCACAAGGAGCTCCTTCACAGATTAATCCACTTTATATCCCTGGCCCTATTTCCATGCCCACTGCAATGCTTTGGGGTAGCTGGAAAATCAGATGGTGTGGATGTGCACATACACACAGATACATAAAAATGTGTTTTACATGAAGGGGATCATTAAGTCACTGTGGGAAGAAATCTCTGTCCTTTTGCACAGTGACTCCCCAGAACACCCCCACACAAACCCCCCAGTGACAAAAAGAGCACAGGTGAGTCTGTGACAGATTTCCCTTGGGAGATGGAAAGAGCTCAAACCCTTTTGTTATCACTGAGGTATTTCCCTGTACAATTCTCAATGGGCTCAGGCAGCTTAGACCTGGTATTTACAGTAGTGTAAAACAGGTCAGACTTGAATGGGTGATTTTTCTGCAGCCTGCACACCATGTGGGTGGCCAAAATGTAAGGCAACTATTTTTCTGACACACACTATTTATTTTCCAATTAAAGCAAAGCTGTGTTTGGACTCTAAATACAGGACTTAGGCACAGTTGTTTATCCTATAAGGAGCAGTCAGGGCATCAGGCTTATGGGAGTTATTTACTTTATACACTATCAGGATAAACCCAGAGACACCTATTTATTTTCCTGCATTAATGGCCTTCTTTCTTGTAGCTTTTATGAAGAACATCTATCCACACATGAACTCCTGTCTCCCTGTGAGAAACCATGAATTATAAAGCCATAAAGGAATCTCAATTTGCTGTTTTTCTCCTCTTTCCTTTTAGCAAAATTGCTCTTTGGCAATACCCCTGACAGCATGATACCACTGAGTCCTCAGATCACACTTCAGTGTTAGTAAAATATATGAATTATTACATGCTTTTGTTTTAAATACGTATAAAAATCTGCACAATTACAAAAATTCCAAAGGAAAGAACACTGCTAATTCTCTCAGCTCAAAACTCTGGGTATCTGCTAGAGAAGCTAAGGAGCTACAGTAAGTAATTTCTATAAATATGGATTGCAACTTCCATTAACAGTGGTGTGAGGGGAAAAGCAGAAATCGCCTTCTCCCTCCTCAGAGAAAGTTTACATCACTCAAAAGATAAGAGATTAACTCAGAAACAACCTCTGCTAGGGGAAGACACGTTTGAGGAAGATAAAAGCCCTTTTCTGGCTGGCTCTTCCTAATAAACACAGGGGCTCTGCAGGGCAGGCTGGGGCCATCAGACCTCCCTGGGGAGAGGAGATGGATGGGGGCAGATCCTGCTGCAGTGCACAGCAGGGAAGGCACAGCAGGAGCAGCAGGGGCAGAGGGTGCCTTGGGCTGGCACTACCTGCCTGCTGCAGCCCTGCTGTGGTTGCACAACAATTTAATTGTTTGCAGATCCTGCTGCAGTGCACAGCAGGGAAGGCACAGCAGGAGCAGCAGGGGCAGAGGGTGCCTTGGGCTGCAGCTGGCACTACCTGCACAACAATTTAATTGTTTGTTTCCTGTGTGCCTGGCTGGGTACTGCAGACAGGGTTTCCTCACACTTCCCATTCCACCCAGGTTTCACAATGGAAAAACTGAAAGGTTTCATCAGCTTAATGATGTCCTTTTATGGTGAATGATCTTCACAGGATTTTATTCTCCCATCTTGTTTTCACCTGTGGTCTGTAGCAGCCATTTACAGAAAGGAACAACCTGAAATCAGCACATTCTCAGGTCTGGAAGGACATGAGAGGCAAGTTCCTCAGGGGAGGGTGAATAACTGAGTGGAACTTGACAGAAAACTGGAAAACCTTTTCAATAAATGGTCACCTGCACACTGTGACTTCTCCCTCCTCCTAACATCAGCTGATGTCCTCAGGGTCACCTCCAAAGAGCCAACCTGCAGACCCTGCAAAATCCTGCTGAGCAGATCTTCCCTGCTGCATTCCCTCCCCATCTCATGCAATCCCACATCTGTTTTAAACTTCTAGTGAACCCTGTTAATTCTTCTATTTATAATTCTTTCATTGAAGCTTGCAGAAAGCCTCAGGAGCATGTTAATATACATCTCTGCAAAAGCAAAATCAATTGTGGCCATTCATGTCAAAACAAAGTAACTGAAAGCATTACAGTTCCAGTTCAAATAGATCCAGCTGATGAAAAAACAGGACAAGAGACACACAGGGACATGAACAGCTTCTGCCCTGACATGGAACCAGCACCACCAGTCACAATCTGAGTGATTTTCCTTGCCAGGAGCTGCTTTTATTTCACCTCTTCAGCACCAGAGCCAGGACAGAAGCTGTGGGTATCTTTAAATCCCAAGAATGCATTTCATTATTCCATTTAGACACCATTCCACTGAAAACAGCAGCAGCTTCCCCTTTTTGCACATATCCACAACAAAATCAGTGGAGAATTTTAACACCAGAATCCAACAGGCAAAATCAGCTGCTAAACACTGGATATAAAACATTTCCCTTGTCATGTACCACAGACCTGCCTCCATAGGTGTGGGACCTCACTGCCAGGGACCCATCCCTGCAGAGGGAATCTGAGTGATGCCAGGCACCTTTTGGCTGTGCACAGCTCTGTGCTGACAAAACAGAGCTTGCAAAAAGCACTTCCTCCCTCATGGAGAGATCAGGGAGTTTTCCTGGCCAGGAAGCATTCACTACAGTCCAGAATGAAGTTGATTTGCCCCATGTCATTACAGGGTGTTTTATACCTGTATTTAACTGAAACTTTCAAATTTCATCTCCTTATTCTGAAGGCTTTTAACTTGCTTTCACATTGCCATTCCACTGTCAAGGTGGGTGTAACATTCTCCCCTTTATTCATGGGTGTAACATTCTCCCCTTTATTTATTTAATGGGTGTAACATTCTGCCCTTTATTCACCTTTCTTTGCTTTCCATGTCCCCACTCCAGGCTCTGACAGTGCCACTTTCAGAATGGTTAAAATGCTGCAAAACTTGAACATTTCTTGGCTGTGGGGATGAGCTGAAGGACCAAGAGCTGCAGCACAAGGTTTGGTGATGCTGTCCTTGGAAAAAGGCAGAGGGAACCCAATGGATGACTTTAAATGGTCGAGGAGCCAGGAAAAAGGGCCTTCAAAAGACTTTTTCTGTTTGCCACCAGCAGACAGGGCTGTCACAGAGGAATGGCACGGCCTGGCTGAGCACAAGCACTGTTTCCAGCCCACTAATGAGCTGATGCTTATTTGGTCCTTTCCCCTGCTTTTCCACTGGAACGCTATTTTCAGCCATCGGAAATGACACAAAATGTTAATGCTTAAGTTCTCCTTTTAGCTGAAGTCTGATGGAGAATAAAAGAGCAGACAAGACAGCTCAGAAACCCTCCAGGCACATGGAGCATCCCAAAAACATTTGGTTTCCATCTTCAGCTGCAAATTATAGACACAACGGATGTGTTTTAAACAAAAAAAGGTCTGTTTGACTTCATTCTTGCAGAAATGCTAATACTGAACCACTGTCAGCAGTGTGAATCAAGAAGGGGACAGCCAGGAAGCAGAATTTCCCTAAGAATACTGAGATCATGGTAATTAATTCATAAATAAAAAAACTACTAGTGGAATAATTTTTTTCGTGTGTTGCTGTTTAGCAAAAATACCGAGCCTTGGATTTTTGCCTGGCTCCTTTGGAGACAAAGCATCATTTTAATATTCAGCATACAGATGGCTGAGGGAAAAGGGAGAATTGCTGAGGTGTCCTTTTCTCTTTTAACATAACCACAGCTCACATCCACACTGTTTCCCAAACAAACTAAAGTAACAATTTGTTAGTGAGTATGAACATAGACAGACTGCTGCTTCCTGGAATTGCCTGAATTTTGTTTTCTAAGAAACAATGCTCTTGGCACAGGGCAGAGCTGGGCTTTTCAACATCCCACAAAGACCCCGTCAGCAGAAGAAATGCAATTGCTTTGTTTACCAGGTTCTAAAAATACTAGAAGCATTCTTTTTTCTTGAAAAAGATGTTTTCTTACACACCCTAAGCCTGACAGTTCAAATTGTTTAATTTTCTTCCTGAGGATTTAGTAGAGTCCAGGTTTGTTTCAAAATTACAAAATAATACAAGCTGTATGTAGCAGGTTTTTTGGGGGGTTATTATTTATCCTAGGAGTTTGTGTCCCAAATTTTCTGCAGGTACTTGGTGCCAATTGAGAAAACAACCCTGCAGTGACTCCACAGTCCAGCCAAAGTCAGCCAGGACATCTGATGAAATCCTGCATCTCAATAAAAGTATGCAGACAAACAAAGCATAGGTGAAATCTCAGGAGCCTAAACTGACTTGAAGTATAAAACAAACTAAAATTAAGTTTAGACAGCTATATTCTGTCTAAACTAAATTTTAGTTGGCTTTATATTTTATATATTTTATATATATTAATAAAATATAATTGTCTTTATGATTATTATATATAATGAAATAATACATAAACTGTCATAATAAGTCAATAAATTAAAAAATCATTTAATGGAGAAGTCTGTCCTCCCTGAATGAAACAAGTGATTCATTTAATATCTTTTCTTCAGCTCACCCACTGCCACGTGATGGCAATGACTGAGGGATGGCACTGGAAAGGCACTGGAATATCAAGCAGGAAATTCAATTCAGTTTTTGCTTTGTACATTTACTCCCATGCCTATTCAGTAATTCTAACTGTGTGTATACAAATCTCTTCTATTTTTTTTTAATACGTGTGTGGTCTGAGGGCCACAACATTAATCAGGTTTTTATATGTATTTGTCATTTTGTCTTCCCATCCATATTCTTAAGAAAAGAAAAACACATGCAGCAATAAAATGAATGTTCTGTGGCTCTTTATAAGAAACAGCCATTTGACATTAGCCCTAAAGCCTTTATCTAACACAAAGTTATTGCACACAAAAAATGCTATAAAAATAAGGTATTTAGACTCTTGGACAAATCTATCCTGAGAAATCTCTGCCACTGCCAAGCACCAGCACTTTCAGCTCACTGTGAGCGGGACAGTCACGTCCAGCAGTTTCTGCTCACCCTTTCAGCCCACACCAAACCCTCTTCTTTTTTGGCAACCAAATCCTTTTTGGCAACCAAAACCTTTCCAAAGGGAGTCACAGTGACCAGGGATGTGCCCAGTATCCACTTTGGAACTGGGCAAATATTGCACAGGTATGGATGCCCCTGGACAAGGCAGTTCAGCACCATACAACCCAAATAAAGAGCTGCTCTACTCACCCTGAGTAGCTCTACTCACCCTGAGTAGCTGCCTGCTACAGCTGTGTCTCACCTACCACTGGGCTTAGCAGGAACATGGTGCATTTCTTGCTCTCCATGCCCACCATAAGCTCTAAATAAAATATCATGGCATTTTAAAAGAAGAAATACATCACACAGAATATTGAGAATTGCCCCAGTTTATATTAATTATCAACTAGTACTTTGAGGACAAAATATCTCAGGAGAATTTTGCTGGGTTGGATTAGAAGCATCATGGGGTAGATGAAGAAGAATGGGTTTGTACAAATGTCACTTTCCAGCTCACCTTTTTCTGATTAGCTGGTGACAAACTTCTGTAGAGCTTCTTGCCTTGCTTGCCAGCATTCCAAATGGTGAATGATGTCCAGGAGCTCAGCACTCTGTCCTCAAGGAACCTGACTCGGTGATTCCAGATGGTTCCCCTGGGGAGTTGGAAAAAGGGCAGATTTTGACCCCTAAAATGTTTAGCATTATTACACAGCTATGTGCACATGTACACACCTACAGGTAAACCTGGCCAAAGGGATTCACATAATTAAAAAAAAAAAATCACATCAGAAGATTAGACTGGAAATTTCTGAGGGGAACGTAGAAAAGAAGTTCCGTGGAAGTTCTCAGACAAAAATCATTTGGATAGATAGGAAGAAGTAGCTAAACAATTTGTATTTTCAAGAACCCTTCCAGTTCACAAGAATATGAAAAGCTGCAGCTGTGGTACTAAAATTCAACCCTGCCCACACCTGTGCTCACCTATGAAGTGCCCTAGAGCCCTGCAGTGACACAGCAAAGCATCTCCTAAACCCCAGCTGAGCTCCTCCTGTTCCATCTGCCACGGGCTCCTTCTCCTTGGCTGATGTAAAGCTGGAATCTCACAGATTTAGAAGCCCAGCTTGCCCCCAGCACCACAGCATAAATGAATTTACAGTGAGGATTTGGCTCAAGGCTCCAGCACGTGGGGTGTCCAAGCTCTGGATCAGTGACACCCCCAGCTACAATCACAGTCCCACACAAACCACCTCGTTACACCCTTCACACTGACCAGCCTGCACACACACACACATTTCAGACCAAATAAAACAGATTTAACTGTAAAAGTGCCCAAGTATTATTTGGCAATGACACAAATGTGCCTATCCCTTTATTTCAAGGCAACTTTCATAAGAACGTGCATTTCTAGGAACAAAAAGTGTGTGTGTTCTACCCTACAATGTAATATTTAAGACTACAACATTTATCACGGATTAAAGGAAACTGCCTGCTGTTAAAAACATCTGCTTTATTTCCAACATTCTTTTAATATTCATTAACCAGGAACCCACCTCAGACTTATTAAACAGTTTCCTAGAGAGAATAAATTGATTTCCTCAATTTGACAAATGAAACTTCATAACATATATCTCTTGAACAAGGCACCTTGAGCTTTCTTTCTAACTTTCTTTCCCAGGAAATTCTGATGAACCCCTAGTGGTGTCTCCTTATTTAAGGCAAACTTCAAGTGGAGTTTTCCATTTTCTTATTTGCATCATTCCTTCACAGCCCCAGTTATGCTCTGAAGACCACACAACCCTCATAGGGCCCAGTGACCCCACTTCACTTCAGCACAGCCAGATCCTGCTCAGCACTTCATCACTGATCCTGCTCTGATAACTTGGAAAATACCTCGTGCACAAATAAAATTTCCTCACAGTTCCAAGGGTGATGGCTCTGCACCAGCATTTCGACTAATGGGGAAAAAGAAAACGTGGGATTTGATCAAAAATCTCTTCTAATGCAACCACAAGATGAATTCCTGCTGCAAAGCTTTAGCTGCTGCTGGCATCCTTTGACACTTGCCTTTTTCCATGTTCATGAGAGCATGCTGCAGTCCCAGAAGGAAAGTTTAAGGAACAAAATATGAAGGTCAAGTATTTTTCCAGGATCACTTTACTGGACATTTTAGAGCTTCTGCGTGCTTCTAAAAGGGAAGATTATTGCTTTGCACATAAATGGAAAGCTTTTAAAAGTGATTTTCCTTTGAAATGTGACTTCAGAAGGATAACACCATATTACATTCCAAAGGAACTTCAGAATCTGTTCTGTTGGCTTGAGTGGCACTGGCAAGTTTCTTTTCCACTTGAGTTTACAACATTAAGGAAACTAAAGTAAAAAAGCAGGCAGCCTTACAAGGCATGAAAAGAGCTTGTAACTAATTTCTAGGTGCAGTGCAAACGCTGCAATCTACCTCCAGGCTTATAAAAATGTTTTTATTTTCATGGAGATGTCCCAGCACAGCAGTATTGGTTCTTCCAGACAGTTTGTGGTTGCTGTCTAGGCCATGAGAGCCTCCGTGCCCTACTGAGGTAAAATTCAATCAGACCAAATCTCAGAGCTGCTAATCACCCCTGAAGATTTCACACTGAAGCAGATTTACTGACTCATCCCACCTATCAATGTTACCCTGGAAAAGCAAGTGGGGAAAGCTTGTAAGAGAACTGCACTCTGAAATAAAAGGGTATGAAAGGTATTAAATTCCAAATTAATTGGGTTGTTGTTCAACCACAAGAATATTGTCAGACAGCTTCATTTAACAACAATTAAAAACTTTCTTAAATAGGTACCGTAGATTGTAAAAACAAAGCAAATATACCCAGCAGTTGGGATGTTTTTCTGCCTCACTATGAGGCATTCTTATGACAGTGCCCACAGAAAAGCATTTGAAGCTCACACCTCCATATTGTGTGTTTTCAATGAAAAAATCAAGTTCTATCACTTTAAAGTCTTGAGTTAACCCTGAAATACTTTTCAGCTGAGATAGCAGATAAACACAGAAGTGAGGGGGGAATTTGGGACTGAGCTTTAGAGTGACACTCACAGGCTTCATCTTTGTGAGAACTCACTCTGCACAAACAATCCCACAGGCCGAGGCAGAGGAGTTTACAGGTGTCAGAGGAGAGAGTTTCGGTTATTCCCTTCAGCTTTCCGCTTCACCTAAGTTGCCACGGTTTTTTTTTGATGTTTCCAGAACAGATAACTGGGATTCCTGCCTCGAGGGATAAGGGAATGCCATTTTCCCATCCTTCAGCAGCCAGTGCAGGTGCAGCAGACAGGAGCTGCAGCAACGTGCAAAGGGTAATTAAAGAAAATGCCTGAAACGATCCAGAAGTTGTACAAACCACTACTCAGAGATGATTCTCACAGCCATTTTCAGATTATGCATTATTACACATTCACAGCCACCAGCAAAACCTAGGAGGAATTATTACTCTGCACAACTCCAAATCAAGACAGCTTTTCCTCCCCATCTCACAAAGATTAGAGTAAGCAATTTGCTGCAGCCTTTGGTACCAAGTCCAAGCCTGAGTTCAGTTCACAAGATTGTCCTCAGCCAGAAGATGGGACTAAATTCTTCTCACTGTACAAATTTGTTCCCATATCCTAACGCTCTTTCTTGACCCCAAATCTTGAAATTCATTATTTCCCCCATTCCTTCCATTTTGTTGTCACAACTTTGTAAAAGAAACGTTAGGAGGATTTCCACTCGAAATATCATTCTTGAGGCTTACATAATTTTCCTGAGATCTCACTTGCCGTGGCCCCTCAATGCTCATCAGTTATGGAGCCTGGGAGGAAGAAGAGGAGCCAAAATTCTGCAGGAGTGAAATGAGGGTATTCATGCAGAGGGTGAGAATGACTACACCGTGTGTTCCTCAGCCCCAAGTAGTTATTACCAGACCATCCACCCAAGTAATGCAACAATGGAGCTCTGTTAAAAATGTGTGGTGACCTAGTGACTGAATACAGGAGTCAAGAAACATCTGCTCTACTCCTATTTTGAAATGAAAGATAATGTGACAATAAAAGCAATATGATTTAATGTCTGAGCTCAGTCAAAGCTCGCCATATTGTTGCACTGCCTTTCCCCTCCTTCCCCCAGTGAGGCCACATAAGTGAATCCACAGAGCAAAGACAGATGTACAAGTACTTGAGCAATGCAGAAACACAAGCCCAATATCCTGAACAGTACTGGAATTTTAGGCATGGATTGTCATCCACAGAAACACTATAGATCCATAAATCTGACCTTTTCTCCCTGTGCTGGCCCTGCACAGTGCTCAGGTAACGCCAGGCAGGAAGAGGAGCTGCCCAAGTGAGCATCCTCTTCCAGGGCCTTTTTATTGATGGCAGGGTAAGAGAGTTCTGGATGAGAGGTGAACCTCACCTGATGGACAAACCAGAGCTGCAGGAACAGAGAACTTCAGCATCACAGTGAGAGCTGAAAAAGCAGATCCCTTACAGCCAGTGTTGCATGCAGAATTCAAGGCCCTTACCATCCACAGGAAATTCAGAAATAAATCCCGTTTGAACCTTGGCCATACTGGTGAATAAACTGGGTTTTTTGCCGTTGTTGTTCTGTTGAACTTCATGTGAACTTATTAATTGCTGGACTATATCGTCCCACTGAGTTATTACATTTACACTGTTAATAGGTTCTATTAATGTCTGAGTTCATCTTCAGGTCACGGGTCATTAGCTGAGGCATGGTTTGCATTGTGGCCTATTTTTCATGAAAGGCTTATTAAGAGAGACAGAGACTATCAATGTTAATGGCATTTACTTTTCAAGAATCTAATGAGGTCATTAGTTTCCATGTTTAATTGAAGTGCCAAATGCAAGCATAGGAGATAAAAATGCAGTTGACCTCATCTTCATTTCAGCTCTACAGGAGTATGTTATTCCTCTCTCCTGCCTATTTTTGGCCGTGTATGTTTGTGCAGGAAATGAAGGAGGCATTCCTGTGCTCACCACAGATCCAAGACCTGGCCTCGGAGCACCTCTGAAACAGCCAAATGTGTGTTTCACACTAATGCCTGTTCCTCTTCGCTCAGACGACACTGGAAGCTTCCAGTGCCTGAAACCAGATGTTTTCAATAGATTATGTAATTCTGCTTATTTCTGCAGAGCAGTATCACACTCGTTCTGAGCACAGGGGTTCTGAAATTACTGGAGGTGCACTTCACCTTTTTTGTGTAAAAGGGAATTGCTCAGATCTTAGACAGAAGGTACTAACCTTCTTTTTCACATGCATTAAATTTGTCTTGATTACAAACTTGTAAACTGCTCCAAGGATTAGCTGCATGCCCCAACCACCTGTCTTCATGAGCTGCACTACTAAAGACAAGTGCAAGTTTTTATTGCTCACCTCAACTCCAAGCTCACTTTCATCTCACAGTGAGGTATTGTTGTATATACAGTTCCTTTCTCTCCCCTTTGGCAAGATAAAAATCTATGAATTTTAACATGTTTTTATTATACATTCGACTTTCTTACTGCAGTATTCCTCACTCCAAAGCCAGCTCTGCTATGGTCTCACATCAATTTCATGTGGCTATGCAGCACTGAGTACTCACAGCCCTAGGGTACAACACCAAATAAAGTGATTTAGATCCAAGAGATATGAAAAGTGGGATTTTGTGTTGTGAATTCCTAGCTGAAGAGAAGTTTCTCAAAATCCAGCAGGCATCCATCACAGACTTTGGATGAAATGACAATGAGAACATTCATATTTCTGCATGCACCTAATGAAATCTAAATACAGACACTGAACTTCATGCAGATTCTGTCACACACCCAAAACATTTAATAATGCAGACTGATGCCTCCAGGGTAAGGGAGAATGCAAATCAGATTTAGTTTCCTGCTTCACAGATATTCTCAACTCCAGATATGTGTTCCAGAAGGATACTAATCATAGGAAATGACCTAAAGCACATGAGTGTTTACAATTATACGTACTAACTAAAAAAATAAAAGAACCAAATGTCACTTGCCAAGCAGTTTTACGCATATTTTTGGAAATCTGAAAATGCAGTGAGGCTTCTTTCCCCCTGGAAGGTTCTGAAAAACACCTACATAAACTGAAACCATCACAGGCTATGAGTGACTGTTGTCTTTGCTGGAAAGAATGAATGATGTACCTTTGTATAAAAATGTCCTGCTATAGTTTTTAAGATTGAAACCAGGCATATAGTGTTTAAAAAAAAATCAACTTTTCTACAAGCATCATTTTGATCTCAGACAAGATATTAATTTGGCTGGTGAGTTACTACTTCCAAATCCAAGTCTAGGCTAACTCAAAATTTAAAGATGACCTGGGCCAATGGCAAAAAGCAAAACACCACAAAAAACTGCTCAACAAAACAGACCATAAAAAGAAAAAGGCTTCTAGAAAAGCCAGAGCATGCATTAAATAAGGTGGAATGACCAAGAGGCAAATTAGGCAAGACCAAATTTAAATTATAACCTTAAACCTTTGTGATGAGTGCATTAATCTCTTTTTGCTCAACGTGCACTTCAGTCTCCAGACACAAACACGGGCAACCCTTCAGAACTCGGGCAACAAACAAGGAGTGAGCCAGGAGAAAGAGCTCTTGCACAACCTCATGTTTGGAAAGCCACACCAAATATCATCCCCAGTAGTACCAGCAGGAAGCCAAGAGGAAGAGCAGCTCTCCTGATTTCTTAGAATGAGACAAGAAAGGCGCCAATTTGGACAGGCACCCCGCACATCTGAAAGAGCTCACAGCGTTTCCACATTCCCCCAGGATGCTGTAATTCAGGGTGCTTGTGCCACACAGCCTTGGAGATCTGAATAAGCAACAGCTTGCAGTAAATTCAAAACAAATTAATTTCCAAGAATTAGATGCTTTCCCACAGATAGGAGCAAAAATGCTTCCAAGAGTTTTTAGCGTCCCATAATGCGTGGCTGAAAAGTTGGTCACTAACTGCCAAAAGGATCACGCAGTAAAAGAGGAAAAAAAAAATCTTTACATTTCAACATGAATTAAAAGGAAAATAATTTATCTCATGCTTGTTTGCAAAATCAAAATCATATGTACTATTTGCTTGAATGACCTTCTCATAGTTAAATTATTATATATAGATATTCACAAAGATCTGTAGTGACATTAACCATGAGCGTGCTCGTGGTTATTTGTTTTACACTCTGTACAGCAATACAGGGATGGACAACAAAAATGTATACACAGAAATGTTCATTTTTACTGGTCAGTTCTACAAAGCCATAAAAACAGGACTGACTGAAAAGTGTACTTCTATCATTAATCAGTAAGGAAACAGTTTACTTAATTACCACTGCGATTCTGGCATGCCATTCCTAAAGGACAGTACCACCCATGTCATTTTTTATTAATGTCAACGCATAAGAGAAAGAACAGCTTTGGCTCAGCTTGCAGCATGTAGAGGAATCAGCATTTAACACCTCCTGTAGGGGCTGAGCAGCCCAGGAAAGGCAGCAGGCAACAAAAGCAGCTTACAAGGAAGCACCTGAGATAATTACTCCAAACATCCTCAGGGATTTTTCAAACCTCATTATCTGATTTAGGTGGTTTAGACCCTTTAAAATAAGAAAATAATATATGTAAAGGCAGCACATTATCAGATTAAAGGTTTGGTTTTGGTCTGGTTCTTTTTTTTTGTTTTTCGAAAGATGGTTTTTGTTGGTATTACAAGTTTCTGTTTACTTTTTAAATATTGAGGCAGTTGATTTTGAAATTAAGCCATAGCATTTCAACATTTTATTTTACATTACGGTTCATATGTCAAAAAACATGGGAATGAAATTTTTACATATTAAAAATCCTAATTAAAAACCCCAATGCAGTTTCACCATCTCTGCTGCCAATGATCCAAGATAAAACCAGATTTAAATTGCCCTGGAAAGCACAGCTTACTCTAGGACAGAGTGAGTGGCAGCCTGGGGGTGGTACCGGTAGAGCAGGAGGCAATGGTTCACTCGAAACACTCCACCACCCTTCTGGAGATGTTCATAAAAGAACAACAAATCCTCTGGGACACCCTGCAACAGAAAACAGTTATTAGATCAGTATTCGGGTACATCTGAAGAGGTTTAATTTCTCTGCCAAGTGAATATGGTTCAACAGAATTGTTCCACATAAATGCAATTTTGCTGTTGCCCAGGGAGGGTGTGGGCTCCTCAAGGCCAGGTTGGATGGAGCTTGGAGCAACCTGAAAGTGGCCTGGAGGTGAAACAAGAAGATCTTTCAGTTCCAACCCAAGCCCATCTCTGATTCTGTACTATTATTTGTGTGTGTCCCAATGAGCTTCTCTAATGGGTCATGAAATAAATGCAGAACGAGCAGTACTATTTACAAATTAAGTGCAAGGACAGAGGTGGAAAAATTAACAGAATCTCATTTTGACAGGGATCTCAAGCTTGGTGCAGGCGAATCCAAAAAAAAAGAAACCCAGCTGCTAAACGGTTTGTGCAGCCTGAAGTTCCATGTAACCAAATAGTTTGTACTGCAAAGGATCAGTGACTTAAGGGGGTTTTTTCTCATTTTACTGGAATTCTCCTTCTTTGTCATACAAAGGCTGGTCTCTACTTAGGAAAGGTGACTCAGGCCCCATAATGACAGACTTCAATAAAAACTGCAATAAAGGCAACCTCAGAATGAGGCAACATCTGAAAATATTTTTTATTTTTCTTGAGACTTCCTTCCATGGTACATTCATCCTTATGGGACTGCAACCACTGCTGCTGAAAACACTACAGGATAAAAGCTCCTGCAATTGTGGATCTAGCAGGCTCTAGGAAAAATGAGGGATTTCACAATCATTTCAACATTTTCTACTTGAAAATCAGAGAATCTTCATGCAAGTGATGCAGTGTCAGAAGGGAAATTATATGGCTCATAGCACTCATTTCCATTTTGTGGCATATGAAAGCATAAACTCACCTTTAAAGTCCTCCACAAAAAGTTAAAAAAAGTAGTGTTTATTTATATTTTGCAAAGCTACAACTTCTTGGAATACTAGAACATTTCATTCTTTCATGTTTAAATACAGATATTTCTTCCCTGTAATACAGTGTTTAAAAGGTCACGTGGATTTTACCAGACAAAAAAGCTCCCTTTTATAAAACCAGGTGGGTCAAAGAAAACATTTAAGTGTCACAACAACAAAAAGCTGAAAGATAAAATGACAAAATTTTAAAGGAAAAGAAGGTGGAGAGATTGAAATACATTTGTTTCTGTAGACAGTATGACACATATGAATAACCAGGTCATAAACCTCAACCTCAATCTTAACCATTCTATTTCAACACAGAAAAATAATAAGAGTACAAGTGAAAAAAATAATTGAAATTTTTCCCTATTACTACAGCCTCTGAGTTTCTTCCATAATTAAGAAAATGAGATTCTCTAATTACAGTGCTGGGCTGGCCCTCTAGTTATGAGAGCAATACAGTTCAGTGACTATTTCTCATCCCCACCAGGCTGAGTAGCCAGAGGGGTGTGGGAGTGGAAGAGAAATGAGACAAAAATCTCTCTGAACCCTGGAAAACAGCTCCAGACCACTCAGCTGAACCTTGGGAGAAACCAGAATCCAGTCAAGCTCTGGGCTCTGCAGCTCCTGCCCTCACTCTGGTTTGTGTGTGACACTGATTTGGGCCATGCTCCCACATTCTGAATTAAATGGATTCTGCTCACTAAGGGCAGCTCATCTGCAGCTATTGGATGTCTTTGTAGACATTTGTCTGACTTCTGGTTTAAGAGATGCAGGGCAGAAGAAAACTTTTAGACAAGCTCATACAATTTATGCTTTATGTGACTCTGAAAGCCAGAAAAGAAGTCTGGGAGAAGCTGGAGTGGCAGCCAGCAACCACACTCACCAAGAATACAAGAAAAACACAAAATCTATTTATTTCCATTCATCTTGTAGCCCTTTCTATATTTTCCTTATTGTGGACTTTAAGGGAAATACTGAGCCAGCAGAAAAGTTCAAACCTTTTTCTCTTCTCCCATCACACACTAGACCATGTCTCAGGGCACAAGTGCAGCAGATATCAGCTTGCTGCAGGAGCCAGATTTTGATTCAGATCTGTGATTATGTCACATACATCTCAGCAACTCCTTCTCTTTTGGATAAGCATTTCCATTATTCAAGACAACTGTTAAGAAGTATATTTAAGAAGAGTTACTGCAGAAGTAAAATGATCTTTCAAAAAACGCTCTTTGGTTCCAAGGGCTCTTTTGCTTCCCTTTATCTGGCAGAAATTCTCTGGAATAAAGTGCACTCAGGCCTAGGAAGGAGCAGGTGCCTTGCACTGCTCAGCAGTGGCCTCTCACATTACAAAGGAGCAGCAGTGCCACGCATTTTTCAGAGGAAAGATGCTGACTGTGTTATGGATCCTGCAGGGATGGGACTTCCTACGGCTCTTGAGCGTGTAAGTTTGCTGCAACACAAGAGTTCCTTCCCAGCTGAGATCTATTATTGGATCCAGATGGCATTTTAAACACCAGGAATCTTTGTGAAACAACACAACTCTGAAAGAGAAAGCTGTTTAACCACTAAAGGGATATTTGAATGTATTTTTTGAAAATTAATATCCATAGCTAAAAGTATCAATTACTAACCCAGCATTTCAGCAATAGGCTACCACATCAATAGCTTTCAGCAACAATAAATACAATTAAATTGCACAGTTTACATGTAACTGGGACTACATGCAGAATTTTCCATATTATAGGCAAAACCAACCCCACATCCTCTGCTGCAAAAGGGCATAAACTAATTACAGCTCCCAGAGAAAAGCACAGACTGCCCCTGCTCTGCTGTAAGCACCCCAATGCAAAATCATATTTCACTTTTTCACATTCCCACTGAACAGGGGAAGGGTTTCTGCTGACCCAGTATTTTGGGCAGGTACTGCTTGCTGTGCTGGTGGTTGTACAGGTGAGGGGACTGATTTTTTATAGACCATGGGGTGTCAAGCAGAACCCTAATTTGAGTTAAAGTAGCTCCTTGTTCAGAGATTAACTAAATTATCTATGATCCCTCTCTTGCCATCTTCTCATTGCACATTGTTCCCACTCCTGGCAGCAAACTGTGCTCCAACTGCAGCCACCCCAACATTTTCCAAAGAGGTTCAACATCCCCCAACAAGCAATTCTGGCTACAACCCTTGCACCTCCACCATCAGTAAGGATGAGGAGCACCAGCAGGGATCTTTCCAGGGCCAAGCCTGGAGGTTTTCCTGAGGGGTTTACTACATTCCCAGAGGGACCATCAGCAATTTTTGGAGGAGTTTTAATGCAAGTGGTGCCCTGTGCAATGCTGTAACCATGAACACCTGCTGAGGCCGTGCTGGGATGAACAACAGCAGCACTTGAGGCTGAGAGCAGCCCTGTCATTCGCTCACTTGGACAGAAACCACCACGGGGCTGTAGAGCCATATACACAATATAAAAGCTGCCTTTTGGTGCTAAACCAGAATCAACCAGTCCCAGCTCCCTCATCCATCCCCTCTCAGCCCCATCTGACTCCTCCCTGTCCCAGCTCACAGGCACTCTGGCAGATCCTTGTGAGCACAACCAGGGGAGATTCAGCCTGTGCAGAGAAGTCTGACTGGTGAAAATGGGAGATCTAGCAGTATTTCATGAATACATTAACTTATAAGAAACAGCAATGACAAACAAGCCAGGAGAAGTACATCAATCCACAGGGGGAAAAACCTTCAGATTCGGAAAAGCTTGGCCTCCCTTTTGGTCAGGAGCATCAAGGAAAACTGGGCTATAACTTGGTACACATTTTGTAAACCACTCAGCACCATCAGGGGAACTGCTGGACAGGAAAAATCTATTTAATTCCTCAGAGGAGCCTAAAACTGCTGAATGGGAAGACTTAAATAGCTATTAATAGCTTTTCTACAGGATTATCCAAGATATTCTTAAGTCTCCCTTTCTGCAGATCTGTCACTTCATTTCTTGGCTGTAATCCAAATAATGCCTTTCCATCATTTTGCCTTGATTACAGGACCCAGAGCCCATTAGGATTTATTTTATTGTTTAGGAAATAACAGGTTAAAGGAAACTCCAAAAGGTTGCTTTCATCCAAATGTCTTGGCACAGAGAAAAGCAGTTAAACAAAGATGATGGGGAAGTCAAGTGGAAGGGAGGTGGTAAATTGTAAATGATATTTAATAACAGACCAGCAGAAAATATAATTAGACACAGGGTATGGGGTGAATTTTAAAATAGCTTATAGCCTGTAATTAATCACAGGCTCCACCACTTTTTCTCTGCTTTTTAGATCAAATATTGATCTCTGTTCAGCCTTAACTATATAAAGCCAAAAACAAACCAAAAAACCCCAGCAGTGCCTGTATTTTATCCCAGTTTTCCCCACAGCATCCTGATAGGTTGTTTGACAGACTGACAGTATTTTAATTCACGTCCCAAAAAACCAAATTCCTACTTGGCCTTTTACCTCTGAAGCATTATTATAACCACTTGCCTTTCTGAATGGAATGAGATTTGTGTGCTCTGGCAGGGAAACATGGAAAATTGCATCAGTGAGTGCCTAACAGCCACATTTACCTCAGAGCTTTCCACATGGCCTACAGTCTCCTGTGCTCAAAAGGATATTTTGACACCTCCTCAGATCGGGTTTTTTGCGACCTTTTATCACAAAAATAGAATGAAACTGAGCTCCAGACACTTTGTTCAGAGGCACAGTTTGCATTCAGAGAGGCTGGTGCTTTACAATGCACGATTCCATCTGGGGCTCATTAAGAATAATTTCCCCCTGTTTACACTTTGAGATTAGCTCAGAACTTTAAGGCTGTCACTCCATTTTCAGTTTTCATACACTAAGAAAGGAAGGATAAACACAGGGGTGACAGGAAATTTGGAACCAAGTTGTGGTAAGATTCTAGAGAAAGAGGCAAGTTTGGCACGTAACAGTTGTGATGTGGGGAGCAATTCTGCCTGCAGAGAGCCAAGACTGCAATTTTCCACCCCTGCATGCAGTGGAGCCTGCAGGGCAGCAATGCTCCTTTATACAGCTCTCCTTGTACTCAGCATTTCTGTCAGACACGGGAAAAAATAACTTTTCTTCACCAATAACAGGCACCTCATCTCCCACTGCACACGGCTGGGGAGCTCCCCACTCTAACAGATGACACAGCTTCAAAATCTGCTTTTCACATTAGGCCAGAACACGGGCATTTTTCTCCTCAGCACAATTTTTTTGTGATGCTTTTGGACACGGTTATTACTTTTTAACAATGGTGCTACTTATTAGGAGACACCAAAACCTCCAGCAGCAAAGCCACCCCTGGTAATGTCACACACCAAGTGTCAAATGGGAGTTCTGGAGGGTTTAGGAAGTGCTGCTACTTTTTTCAAATAAGGAAGTACTGCAGTCTTTATAGAAAATTGCTTAAAAGATTATTTTCTTTTAGTTTCCTAAAAAAAGAAAGCCAAAAATATGGTTCATCGTGTGACTCTTCTTCCAGCAGGGGATACTATTTGAAATGTTACTTTATAGGCTTGGGACCATTTCCATTGTATTATGAACACCATCAGAGCTCGCTAAAATCTTTTCAGTATTCCTGCTTTCATTATACTTTATCAGAGATTGCATAAATAAAATCTCTTTTATTATTTAACCATTTTAGTTAATTAATATATAAAACAAAACTGTCAGGTTCTCTGAGACCATTTATGAGTATGTTATTTTGTTTGGACCTAAAAGGAATACACTTCCAACAACTGCAGATCTTGATCAGAAAGAACTTCATTAAAAACAAAAAGGAAAAATCCTGTTTAACCTAAAGCCTGAACGACTGGAGAGAGACACACATATTTACCTGGAATAAAAAAAGGATTACACCATAGCACATCTATTTGTATTTGATCACTCCACCCACTCTGTTACCATCAACATCACATCACAATTTCTCCCATGGAAGAATTACCCTCCATTCTTTCCTAAGCACTGCAATACGAAGAACAGGTGTTTGGATTTAATTTCAGATGAGAAATGCAGCTTTTTGGCAAGAAACAGTTCAGCAAATGGAGAAGGCCAAAACGTGGAGATTTGCTGGCCTGTTCTGTGTTTACTTCCAGCAATGTGACACTGGCAAGTCTCATTAATAAACACTAACTCAAAAATGGAGATGGAAGTGATCAGATGAATGCAGATCCTGGCTCAGCTCAGAATTTACAGGGATGAGACCCTTCAGAGTATTCTCAGCTCTGCTGACACACAGAGAAAAACTTCCTTTGCTTTAAAGGATTTCTTTTCAAATTAAAATGAACGAGTTAGAGCAATGCTAAATACTTTGTAACACTAAATGCTCAAGATTTAAGGCTTGATTTTGTGTCCTCTAAACCCTCAGAAGACAAAGGTTTGACTTCACTGCTTTGTTCAGATCTGTCCTGTTCTTGGGTTTTTCTGAAGGTCCTCTGCATCAGCCAGAGCCTGAGCTTGGACATGCTGGACACCTCACAATAGGGACAAACAATAAGTTCAACTTATCACTGGTAATTCTTCAAACCAGAAGGACATATCATGCATTGTGGCTGAAAAATCATCAGGATTAAGACTGTCAGTGTACTACAGCTGAATAACCAGTGGCATAGTTCCTAACAATTACACAGAAAGAGCAAAACAGAAGAAACCCTACTCATAAAAACAAAACAAGGAGAAAAAAAAAGCCAAAATGAAAAGCAAAAAGCACAGAACAATAGTCTATTTAACTTAACCTCTTGAACTTTATCATTAGGCTTTCTGTTCTATTGTTGCTGCTGCTTTAACTTGCTTGCTTTCTTTCTGGAGCTTACTAACAATGCTCAAGAAGTCAAACATCCTTCAGAGTGAAAATACAATGATAAGAAATAATAATAAAAAAGAAATAAAGAGCATGGGTCAGCAAATGTAGATTGTATTGGGAGCCAGGCACCATTCCCAGCTCTTTCACTCCATGTAATTAAGGGCAAATCTTTTCACTGCTCTAAACAATTCAGTTCTTTCTCTGCTGTCTCCTTATAATTATAATTTTTTGGCAACCCAAAGAATAATATTTGTATATCCTCATACATACACACACATGTATATATATACACACACTGCATGGCACTGAAGGGCTTCATTTAAAAACTATAAAAATAATCATCATCATCATCATCTGTTGTAGTTTAAATAATTAAATAGGAAATAGCCTTAGCAGATTTGTTTTAGAGTGCTAATAAATGAAAGCTTTGGAAAAAAAAAAATCAGAACCACCCATTTTAGCTCTAAAATCTCACCAAAACCACTGGAAGCAAAACCTCTCAGAACCAAACCACACAAAATGGATCCAAATGTGTTTAAATTAGATCTATTTGCCAACATATTTCAACTACCACAATAAACACTGCTAACGGACACCCATGGATTTTATTCCATAAACACACTGATGAGCTTAAAGCAATTAAATTGAACTCATACAGGAAATTCATAAAGACAAAGAACACCTAACTGTCAGGGAAAAAACACTTCTGAGACCACAGGTATTGAATTTGTAACCTTTCAGCTCTGATCCTTGAGGAGAAGCTACTTAAAATCTTCCAAGGACGAGCACAAGAACCAAGACTGACAAGTGGACAGGTGGATAAATGAGTTTTAGTGGTAGTGGTTTTACGGCACTTCTTTTTTCCTCTCAGGGCTATCAATCTTCCCCCTTAGATGAAGATGCTTTTGTCCCTCTGCCATTCTTCACCTTTCTTCCCTCCCAATTTCTTTCAGCAACCGACCTCACCCAGCTCATAACAAAACTAAGGGCTCACCTGTTTTTAGCATCTATTCCAGAGATCAAAGAGGAGCTTTGGTGTCTGAAACCTTCAATTTTTCCAGGTTTGCTGACACATCCAATAGATGTGTTACAATGACAACCTCAGGTGGGTCCTTCCATTCCAGGGTTATTCCCAAACAATTTCAGTTGGTTGGAGATTGGTTTATTTTAAAAATTGTACGGCCCAGGCTTTTTTAGAGCTCAGTTTTCATCTACATCCCTTCCCTATTTTTCCTTAATAACAGGTAGAGGCTGTTAAAGGGATGGCTCCTGGACTACAGATCACCTGCAGCACTCACCTTTCCACCCTCATCAAATCTTCCCACATGAAAAAACCATTCTCGAGAGCAGAACCAGGTTGGCATGACCACAGTAGGCCCATGGGAGGTGAACACCTAGGGAAAAAAGAGGGGAAAATCCATTCAGTTAACAAAATGTCAAACCCAGCAGCTGCTGAGGAACAAAGCAGACCTCACACATCCACCTGAAGTTATGCCTGTACCCTTCAGCAATTTTGAACACTGAGAAGAGCCAGTGCTGGAAATTTAGCAGGTGCTTAGTGTTGGAAGGGCAGTGTAGCAGAATCTCCCAGGTGCCACAGCCCAAAAGGTGAGTCTGGCTCCTGCTCCATATTCCACGACCTTCTCTTCTCCCCCAAGCCGCAACATGTGCAGAGTACTTAAAACATTTTTCCAAATTTAGAGTATTACACTGGAGCTGGCACTTTATCAATAATGATGATGTTAATATGAAAGTGAAGTAATTGAGAAGAATTACAGAAAGTTCAAACTCTTAAACTGAACCCTACATTTTCTGAGCACTGATTTTTTTTCCATTTTATATTCCTTATACATATATTAAGTATGAACTTTCACTGGTCTTTTATTTCTGCCAAAGACACTTAAATCCTAATGAAGCTTGGACAAGTAAAATGCAATTTGTTTTAAACATCACCTGAGTACTGTGGATTTGCTACCCAGGGGTACCTACAATTAAAGGTTTTTGGAAAGGAAGAGCTTTAAGTAGAGAAAAGGGAGTTAATATTAAGTTCATCTCTTCATTTGTGACAGCCAAGAACTATACAAATGGGTCTTTGAAGCTTTAAACAAACTTGTTGCAAGTATAACTGTGAAATAAGCCAGAATGTGGATGACAGGAGGTAAACTGGTTCTTTCTTTTGCACAAGATGAAGAATCCAGGCAAAGGGGAGACTGAACTTGTCAAACACAAGGTGCAAAGTGAAGCAGGAGCTTGTGCCTGCTTCCAGCAGAGACACAGGAACTGCAGAGCACACCCTGGGCCATGAAGGCAGAAAAAAACAACTTCACAACTGCTGTCAGTCAAATGGCAGTGCTGATCTGTAAGCTGACAATTTCATGTGACAGTGGTAATATTCATATTCCTGTACAGCTTAAATGAAGAGTGTACATTTGTCACATGCATCTACATTTTAAAGGTGCTCCTCTTGATGTCAGCCTGAGAGAGCTCCACAAACTCTTACGTTTGGCCACTTCAATTTCCACAGAAAAACATGGACTTAAAACCAAATAAAGACATTTAAAACAATTGTCCAAATGAATTAAATTAGAAATGCAATCAAAATATGGCAGATTACCTACTCCCACTTTTCTAACAGGCATTTTCCCAAACTTCAGGTGAAGCACACAGGATGCCAACAGAACTCCACTGTCCCTAAAAGAATCTTGGGGTGACTCATTTTCATCCACACATTCCAATTCTAGGCACTCATATTTAGCCAGAACAATCCTATCACCTAATGTCTTAACTCATCAGCAGGTTGTCCAGAGATGAAATACTCCAGTTCAGAGGTGTTAAATGTAAAATTCTCCCCCCAAGAGTCAGTGGGAGCTGAAGGAATCAAAACAAGGCCAGAAAAGCAGAGCAGCCTGATTACTGAGTACATGGTTATTAGCTCCACATTAATTACAAGGGCAATTGAGTATGGCCTGAACCAAACAATGACCAAAGAGTAATCCCAAAAGAAAACAGCAGCAGGGAGAAAAGCCAGGCCAGAGGGCATTGCATTGAATCTCATTTCTGAAAGACACAAAAACTTCAAAAGAAAGTCTTGAGCCCGTGGGTACTTGTGAAATGTGTCTGCAGAGGCCAGAATGGCATTTCCTCCGAGCTGCCAGGTCCCTCGGGGATCAGGAGTGCACTTCACCTCAGAGCTGGGGCTCCCAGCCATCAGCTGTGCTCTCACGTGCCAAGAGCATCCCTCCCAAACATCCCAGACAACACTGACACAGACACTTCAGTGAAACCAGACACAACAGGCTATTTCACAATAATAAATAAGTATATATCAATATTTTATAATAAATAGTATTATAATATTATTTATATTATAATAAAGATATTATTAGATTGTATTATTTATTATTATTTAATAAATATTTAATATATTACTTTTCTATTAGCTATATTATGAATTTATATTATTTTATAATAAAAACAATTATTTTATTTATATTATTGTTATTATGAAAATTTAAAAGGACACTTCCAAAAGGCCCTGATGTTAACACATGATGATTTTACAGCAGACCATCACACACTGCATACACTGATGTCCCTCCTAAATCCAGCAGTGTTCTGTGGCTCACTGTCCATCTCAGCAGAGACACCAGAGGAGAATCACACGGGCAAAACAGAGACTGATGATGGCACACATGATTTCAGGATTTTGTCCTTCAAGAAGGTCTTTAAACCTGCACAGCACAGCAGCTGAGAGCCAAGGAATTGGCAAATAAACTTTTCCTACATGAAAACTTACAGTGCAACATCAAAACTGACTCTAGGAAATTTATTTGTGCTGCTGTCACAAAGAACAAATTCACACTACCTTTGCCTTGCTATGTAAGAATAACTTCTGTGAAGCTGAAATTCTCTTTGTGGTTGTTGTCAGCTGAACCTCCTGATCCAACAAACCATAAATCAGCAATGCCACCACACAGGAGGATGTAGGAAAGCAGGGCACCAAGCAGAGAGCACTAAACCCTTCTCAGCAGCAGTAGAGATGATCCAGAAATGATCTCTAAGCTGATGAAACTGCTAGAAATCTCCATTTACACCACATTTACATTAATTAAGAGCTCTCCCACTCATTCTGCCTCTGGCTGCACACCCCAGTCACAGCACTGGCACTCTCCTGACCCCAGGATGGATCAAAGCACTACATCAGTAAAAAGCCATTATTTTCCTTGTTTCTAGTGTTAGTTTTCTACAGCCTTAGCTCTCTGAATCAGTTCACCGTGGGGTCAGAGCAGCAATACCACTGACACACTGGAGAGGGAAGGAAAAGCTTTGGAGAGGAAAACAAACCCTCCCTTCTTGGTCACTGCCCACAGCTCGAGTCCAGCTGAAACATAAAACTGAATACCCACTCTGATGGGAGGAGAACTGGCCAGGAAAAACACTAACAACTGTTCTGAAACACTGAGGCATCTGCCAAACTTCTGAAAACCACCTTCCAGAGCTTTTGAAATTTTATCTTCAAGCGAAAAAAAAAATAACCTCAACCTTCTGCACTTTGGAAATTCTATATTTCACCTTGGTTTAGTCTGATGGGAAAGTTTCCTCTGTATTTCTTTTTTGTCTATTCTTGTCATAAACTCTTGCCAAGGTGTTAAAAAATGGTCAAATTGCCTTATTCTGTGATAAAAACTGCAATTTCTCACTTTGTGAGACTGACACTCCAGATTTTATCCATAAATCTTTTAGATAGCATGGACTGGAACGAGAGAAACAAAGAGGACATGCTAGTCTTAACTTGACAATCAATCAAAAACAGAATTTGAATGATGGCGCCATCAACTATGTTTAGTTTTCTTGGAAATATCCTCCAACTGTGCTTTACAAATGTCTTGTGTCACCTTGGAACACCAGTGGGTTTCCAGACCTCCTTGAGGAATTAATTCAGTATTCTGAGAGCAGGTTGGGCCTGTGAACCTTTCCCACACAGCTGGATTGAAAGATTAATGTTTATTAATAATACTTGTTATTAATTACAGAACACGGTAGGCTGTAAAAAAAATCTAAATATTGAATATTTCATGTTAAAAACCAGAAGATCAAGGTATAATCCTGTTCAAGGTTTGAATTCCTGAAGAACAGTGTTGTCATAACCTATCTCCATCTCCACATGATGGGCACAAATTCCTATTTCAGCATCTTATTTACTAAATTATTTAGAACTTTTATAACTAGCTGGGTTTATTCCAAGGATCAAGTAGCAAGTAATTGAAACTGATTTGTTCTTGTTCACTGTTTGGCTATCGAATTACATCCAACTGTTACAAGATTCTCTGAAAATAAATCTAAAGAGCACAAAGAGCTGATAAAGTGACTTTCATTGTTGTGTCTCAAAGCTGTCAGCAGCACATGGAACTCTGGTTCCCACTGATGCTCAGCCCAGGCCATGCCAGAATTCAGTGCAAAACCTCAGTTCCAGTACAGGGAAAGGCATTTGTGTGTTTACAGAAACTCCTCGAGGAAAGTTCTCTTTCCTGAAGCAGCAAATCAAAGTCTAACAACAGTGATAAAAGCAGATATGCAGATGGTGAAACAACCTTGTCACATCAGATACCATCGTGCCATGCAGGACACACAGGAGAAACCAGGCAGCTCACAAAAGCAACAGATTTAATTTAATTTAATTTAATTTATCCAGGAGCTAATTCCCCCAAACACACCACACATTTAATTCTACTTATGCTACAGCATTTTCCCAAAATTATATCCATACAAATCAAGGATTTGACACATTTGTTGAGACAAATGAAGCTTTCAAATATCCAGGGGAATACACTGACACTTTAGAAGGTGAAAAAGAAAAGAGAACAAATCCCATGGGGAGGGCCACAGTGATTCTGTAAGCACAGCATGGGCTGAAGGGAATCATTCCTGACCTTGAAGCAGTGATGAGTTAAGATATCTGTGCGTTAATTCAGCAATGAATGTACCAGGACCTTGATCCTGAGGTGTACCAGGTTTACATCCACAATCAGGTAGTGTGAGACAAGAGGTACAGAGGGTAGGGAAGGGAAAAAAAGACTCTTCCTACTTCAACAAAGTACTGGTCAAAAGAGGATTTTTCAAAAGAAAATAACTACAATGAGCTTTATGAAGCTTTTAGGAAAAATTTGGAAATTAGGAAATTGAAAAAAGAAATTGAAATTAGAAAATTTAGAAAAATAGGATAAATGACTCCATGCAGTAAAATAAAGCATTCTGCACCAAGAGGCTGTCTTCTTGGCTTGCTGTTTGTGCTGAGCTTTTACTACAAAAGAAAGAAAATCTGCTTAAAGTCATATTGGCAGGTCCTAAATTGTGATTAGAACAAAAAAGCAGGCAGTGTAGAATGGATTCCATG